ATGTATATACATGTCAGGAAAAATCTGCGCGCGCAGATGAGGGCTCTCCTCTCTTCTCTTCTCATGTCTTGTCTTCTCTTGTCTTCTCTTCTCTTCTTTTCTCTTCTCTCTACTCTTGATCTGCTCTCTGCTCCCGACCCTTCTTTCCAATCTCCTCCATTTTTCTGATTTATCTTTCCATCGGTTGGAGGTTTGACTTTTAAACTTCCTGAGAGACAAGCACTGATGTGGCTTTCGACTTCATAGTTGTCTGGTCTTGGCGCCTGCCTACCAAAGAATGGCAGGACAAGCAAGAGAGATCCAAAGGCTACTCCGGGAGCTCGAAAGGCCCAACCTGACCACCGAGCAGCATCGAGACTTGCTGACGCTGCATCACACTGCGATATTCAGACTCTTTTATCAGAGCGAAATCTCCTTGGAGAACCACAAGGTCATAGTGTGCACTTACTCTTACCTGCTTCGTTTCCTGTCCGGGGACAGGAACAAGGGTCAAAATAACATCCTGGAAGTTTAGATGCTCGATAGGCAAGAGAAGAAACCAAAGCGAGAAATCTAAGCATTTGCACCTGTTCTGACCCTGCAAGGACAGCGGGGAAAAAGTTGCTTCAAAACCTCAAAGTGGTGGTGCTTGACGAGGTCAACGAACAGAATGTGAGTCAGTTTCTGGCTGCATCCAGTGCTTTCCCCAACATGCTGGCGTTGATGGACACAGGGCAATACATGCGTCCAGCTGAAACCACTGGCCGCCAGTTGGACGATGAGCCAGCCCAATCACACCTGCCCTCAAAGACGATACGTTTTCAATCCTTTTCCAACCTTTGTGAGAAGCCCACACATGCTCACGCAGGTGCATTTCTTTTTCTCACACTTTGAAATAAACGCATGAACTATCGATGCGGCAATGGTGCGACTGAGAATTATACCACAGCCATGCTTGGCTGACGTGGTGATGCGCAGGCTACCTCTCTACTTGACGCATCGCTTGGGCAGCACATTGGCAGAGCTACTGGCCAGCGTGGTTCAGGCCATGAAGCTTTGCAAAGTGTTGTGCCTGGCGCGCAACACTGTGCTACGCGTGTGGAAGGTGCCTGGTCCGTGCCTCGACTGCAGACCCCTGAACGTTGGTCACCTGAACCCATGTATTCCATATAAAATGTTGAAACTTGAAACACATTGCCTCTTCAAAAGAAACATTGCCACTTGCATCTCTACCTTGGATGGTCAACCTTGATAAAGGCCGGCGCAGCGGCGGCACTTTCAGGTATTTGCAGAATTCATGACAGAACGAAAGAAAGAATTGGCATTCGCACGTGGCCATGAGATTATACGCCAATCTATTCATGTTCCTCTCTGTAGCCCTGGCTGGCCAAATGTCGTGTATACTTATCGATGTGTCTGTGTATCTCAGGTTCCTGGGTAATCGATCTTTGTATTTGTCTGCCTACCAAGCTTTTCACCGACGGAGGCAATCTTGCAATTTGTCTTTCAGCTTACCCTCTTTCTGTCTCATGGTTCTGTCTCTTTCTATCTCTGACACGTCGACATGCTGTTCTCCCTCTCTTGTGTTCGTCAAAATCCATCCGAACATCTTCAGCGTCACCAAAAAAGGTGGAAGTGTATCATTGTACACCTACACTCTAAAAGCTTACATCTTCTTGACTCTGGTTGGCCCCGCGATTATCCCTGATATCAGTTCCTGCGTGCCTGCGTTATGGAAACGCCCTGCATACAACCAGTGGCATGCAATTCCCAGGTACAACTTTGTGCAACATGGATCAGCAGGAAGAGGAGGGATCTACTGCTCAAAGTCCTTCGCGGCAGTCGAAAGACTGGCTTTGTTCCTCCGAGAGACGCATGAAAGCGTCCTGGTCCTCGTCTTCTACGCAGCACTGCGTGAGATGTTGCAAGTCAGCCTGCAGGACTTGGACGTACGCATCCTCACCTGCAGGCAAGCCAAGGGGTGCGAGTGCGACGCAGCCATCCTGTTCATCCAGCCGAGGCAGGAAGACGAACACATGGCGACCGGAGCCCTCACCGAGGTTGGAAAGCTCACCGTGGGACTGAGCAGAGCGAAGATGGAACCCCACATCCTATTCGCAATTCCATGGATTGGAGGCACTGCAGAGTGGACCCGACTCTACGAAGGTATCCGGCCTCGCATGGTGCCATGACTTCAAAGTATCTGCAACCAATGTTTCAGAACCCTTCTTCGATCCCACATGGGTTTCTAACCAAAGTAGGCGTGATCATGGAGACTGACCAACAGCCATGATCACTCGAAGATGATTTTGTTTGGGAAAATTCCGTTCAAACCCCGATCGATGCCTTTGCCTCACAGACTTTCATTTCACTGCTTGGCTAGCCATGATTGACTCTCACTCACATTGGATCATTGCCTTTCACTTACGTTGCCAAACCACATGGTATCTGAACTCGCCACGCATTTCCAATACGCCAGTGGCCGCCAGTGGCCGCCATCATTCTCTTCTCATCGGCAGCCACTTGCACCCACTTGCGGCCAATCGAGTGGCCGCCATTGGCCACCAGCATTCTCTTCTCATCGGCAGCCACTTGCAGCCAATCGAGTGGCCGCCAGTGGCCGCCAGTGTCCGCCAGCATTCTCTTCTCAGCGGCAGCCACTTGCAGCCACTTGCAGCCAATCGAGTGGCCGCAAGTGGCCCATAGTGGCCACCAGCATCTGGTTTTTCATCGGCAGCCACTGCCAGTGGCCGCCCGCATTCCTCTTTTCATCGGCAACCACTTGCAGCCACTTGCAGCCAATCGAGTGGCCGCAAGTGGCCGCCAGAGCAAGTGGCCGCAAGTGGCCGCCTTTGCCAAAATCAAATTCGTGCCCTTCTGCACGCTCTCTGCAACATCGGGTTTCGTCATCAAGTTCATGGGATCAACAATCCACTTCGGCAGCCGCACACAAGCGACAATTGCACTCAGCAGTGCAGAAGCAGAGCTTTACGCGATCAACACAGGAGCAACAGAATCACTTCACATCAGAAACATCCTACAAGAAGCACTCAACGCCAAGAAGGTGAACATTAGGATCCACACAGACTCTTCGAGCGGGAAGAGCATGGCAACAAGGATTGGATCATCAAAGAAAGCAAAACACATCGAACTCAAACACCTTTTCATCAAACAACTGGTGCAACACGATCTTGTGAGGATCATCAAGATCAACACAGCCAACAACACCGCGGACACCTTCACCAAGTACGTGGCCACCGAGACGCTCTTGAGGCATCTCAACGATGCTGGGCTCACAACCCAGAATTGCTAGCAACAGCAGCAACCAACAACAGTATCACTGCAGCTATAGCGTGTTAACGTGCGAACGCGTGTACACCGTGCGAACAACGTGCGCAGCGTACACAAACACAGACATACATTCCATAGCCATGGTGCTGACAATGGTCAGCAACATCGACTATAACATCAATATCTTCGTGCTACATCTTTGTGTATTTCAACATGATCTTCTATCATATACCTCTACAACATGATCGGTACCAACATGATTGTGGACGTGTATGACAACATGACTGTCTTAGACGACATGTTTTGTGGAAGTTTTGAATTCAACAATTTTGGCTTTGCATCTGTCAACATTTTGTTGACACAGTTTGAAGCGTGAATTTCGCCACGGAGAGCCAACATTTGTGAGCACAGTGGGAACAGTAGATGCCATCAACAATCTCGATCTGGAGATATTCAACGAAGCTGTGAAACAGCATGGTCAGATGATGTTGTGGATTGTCACAACAGTAGAGGAGTACAGCAACCTGACCAACGACGGCGAGAAGCCAACTCCCGTGGCTTCGGCAGGTAACCAACGGCCGCCATACTAGTGGCACATGGCGCACCATTTCTCTGAGCCACATCTGGCAACAGGATGCAACAGGAGACTACAACAGATTTATGCTTTTTGGCTTCATCATCAACACCAACCAAGTGGTGGAACGCGTGGCCAACAATACGGTCAACGTTTTCAACAGAGGATGGATCAACGAACAGATCCAAGTGGAAGCCAACAGCGCTTTTGTTCTCACCGAGAGCGAACAGAACCAACAACAGCGGTTCGAGGCATCGTTCAAGATGGTATCAACATGTTGTTTCAAAACATCAGCTGGACAAGAGGGTAGCTATGGTCATTCAACGCACCCGTCAAGGTGAACAGCCTGAAATTCGGCAACAAAAAACCTTGGTAAGTGGGTCGAAGACAACAGTGACTTCGACACCTACCTGGCTGAGATCAACAAGTACCGGAAAAGCACCAACACGGAGGATATCAACATGGATGATGAAGATGCAGCCAACATCACTGGCTGAGGCAATCCATGGAATAGGTGAGACTGACACCTAGATCAACAGTCGAGGGTGGAGCTCAGACAACACCCTGGTGCCAACAGGTACCAAACCAACAGAGCAGGTGAGAGCAACATGGACTTCAACATCTGAGAGTCCAAGACGGCTTTAATTCAACAGAAAAAATTTGCAGTCACCAACATCTGCGGTTGAGGACAGATGTAAAACTACATGCCATCAGTTTGTACAGAGGTGATTTGCAACATCTATGCAACAAGTCTTATAACAACTTAATGTAGTTCAGTTCAACATGTAAATAGTACATTTGTATCAACGTGACGAACAGAAGGTTCAACAAGCTGAGGGGCCGTGTTAAGTACAACACGCCGTTGTGTGTACAACAGTTATGCACTTGTACATTTGGTCATGCCAACATGGCATTCTGGTTCAACAGGCCTTGAGCCTGCCTGGAGTGACAACAGGTCCGAGCCCAACAGACAAAAGGCGCGCACTGCAACAGCAGAGACAACAGACTGCCGTGAATCTTTTCAGTATATATATATATATATATTTTCACACCAAATAAGTAAGCAATTTTGATGAACTTTGTCAGTGCCCCAGATGGGCCAGTGATTTTGACTAGCCATCCTCCAATTTTCTGGGCTGTCGCCAACTTGGTCCAGGCTGAAACTCTTAGAGCTGACCTTTGGAGAGATTCCAGAGATCTCAGGCCGGAGCAAGACCACTGGATTGTTTCGTTGAGGAGCACCATCTCAACAAATCATCTCAAATGATGAATCAACATGAATCAACCAGGCTTTACAAGTTGGGGTTGACAGTACCCCTAAGTCCCATGTTTTGTTGGGATACTCCATGATATGATACTCCATTTTTGAGACTCAACGCCCCGAAGAAAAGTGACCCAACGTCCGGCCCCGAGGCGTCAACGGCCGAGCGTACGCAGAGCGTCGCGAAGCCGAGGTGCCGGAGATGTTGAGCGACGCTCGGCGAGAGCTGCAAATCAGGTTTTACACCTGAGCGAAATATAGAAATACCTTGGTTGATTGGTGAAATGGGAGTTTTACGAGTTTTACCCTTTTTTATTGGGGATTATGATCCAGAACAGGGAAACTTGTCAACCAACTAGTACTTCATCCAAGCCAAACAGGGAACTCAGTAGGGTTTCAAAATGGCGAACCATCCATGATTATCTTATTGAACATGATCAAAAACACAACTTGGTATCGTCCTTTTGCTCAATCATTTTCGGTCCGCCACTTGAAACCGCGGGAAATCGCAAACGCACTGACTGCGGCTTTGCCTTGGCAGTCAAAGCCTTGCCTGTTTTTTTTGGGCAAGCCGCTACCACGCTTAAAGCGTGGGCGTCAAAAAAAGACCTGGGCGATGTTGGGGAGACGGACCGTTGGGTTCTCAGTTTCCACTTAGTCCCTTGGGATGGAAATATGGCGTAGCAACCAGACGAAACACATCGTCAATCCATCCTGAAATGGTCATTGGAACTTGAATCTACCCAAACGGCATTTGATAATTCACCAGAGTTAGTTGGCTGACACGCCAATTTGGCATACTGGCTAACCAGTTCCCAACCAGATCCTTACTCGTATCATCACGCAAATCTGCCAAAATCATGTTTGGAACCCGTGGCATCAACTTTGGCTCAAAAACAGCGCGCCGGCCGTGCGCGCCAAATTCGTCCCGTGTCAGATGCCCAACGTCAGAAGTGCGGAAGGGACACTGTGGGGCGCATTTTGCCGTAGGATGTATGCCCTCAAGAGGCTTGGAGTTCACCAAATTTATCCAGAGATCCCCAGATATTCCACCATTTTGGGGAAGCGAACACAATTCAAATTCTGCTCAGATAGTGGGCCCAGGACCACTGTTCGATTCTTGGCACCCAGCTCCCCATTTTCTGCCCATGGTGGAACTCATGGGTCAGGCGTCTCCTTTGCCTCACCTTGCTGGTGCTTCTAATTATCTCCTGCATCACTGACCTGAATGTACAAGGCCGAATCGCCGAAGACCTCCGCTGGGATGTTCTCACAACCGTGGGACACAATAGGGATACAATCAACAGTTGTGGGCCTAGGCAAGGGTCAAAATTGGATACCTTCCAAATCTGGTTGGTTTTACACCAGAGATGACCACCGCCTGCTTTTAAATAAAGGAAGCGGTCCTCAGAATTGGGTACAGTTTTCAGGGTAGGTGTACTATCTGTTTTTGCCTTGGTTTTTTTCCGCTGAGAATTCAACGTGGACCTCCCAAACAAAGGGTAAACACAATTTTCTGGTTGGCAAGTGCCACTCTTTGGCATGTAGATTTCCGTGTATCCTTCGGTAAACCACCATGGAATTCCGGAATCTCGGCATTTTGGATCAACGGACCCAACATTTGGATACATTTGGGCTGTGAGTTACCACCATGGCGGGCTTCTGCGAGATTCCCATGGGTTGATTTCTAACAAGGTCTACCCGTCTACCCGCATTTTGATGGACCCATGTACTTCGATGCATAAACGAACTTGAACTGTTGTCAACTGGGTTGGCATCACCATGGTTTATTGGACTAGTTTCCTTCTTGATTTTGGTCAATTGGTCAATCAGTTATTTCCAACATTTCCAAAATGGGTTGGGCCCAAAGTTGGGGTTTCGGCATCTTGTTCGTGTGTTCTTTTTGATCTCCAATGTCATGCAAAAAATGGTCAGCACTTCGTGGAATTTTGGTGCTAGATCTATTGGGTGCCAGGTGAGAACAGCTATGCTCCTTCAATGTTGGGACTTTGCTGCGGCTTGCTGTTAGGGCAACTTTGGCCGAAATCTGCAGTGGAGGATTTCCCAAGTTTCTTGGGGTCTCAAGCTAGAAATCTCGAGTACATGGAGAACTTGGGAGAAATCCGAAGTTTCTTGGGACTAAGCCTCCAATCTTTATGGGAATCCCAAGACTTTAGTGTAAATCCCATCGTCTTGGAAAATCATCTATAAATTCATGTTTCTCCAATCACTTTTAAGGGTAATGGTATATTTTTTGAATGGCCGGCTTAGTGTCAAGAAGTTTGTGATCAGTGATTTTCACTCGGGGGATTCAACCAACAAGATTTTCCAGCTGTATCATCCAGCTGGTCATTTTTAGTACACAGCCATGGTCAGCTTTTCTGCAAGAATTTTGAGCTACACCCATCATTGCTGACCATAATCTGATCCTGATTTCTTGGTGATAAGCCTATTTTTCTTCAAATGCGTCCGCATTTGTGGGCATAATATCAAACTATTGTCAGGTTAAACTATGGTTGAATTCTCGTTTTTCTAGGTTGAATAGTTGAATCCAGATCATAAATTTTTGCTGGATTCACCATTTTCCTGAGTTTTTTTTCTAGGTTTTCTATGGCTTTCTCTGGTCAAAACCAAGGTTTGGTTGTACCGGGGGCTCCCCTTTCTTAACGTCTCAGCACCGAGGGTTCTGCACCTCCCAGAAGTCGGGGTTGTCCGAGACATCCCACGAGCGCTGAAGATCGTGGCCGCAGTGCTGCTGATGATCGTTACGGTGCCGCTGCACGGGGGAGCCTTACTGGGATCCCCAGTCGTCACCTTTGATGAGATGACTTGGATGATGAAAAATGGGTAGCTTGATGGGTTGGAAGCCTGCTGATGATGCTGATGATGATGATGATGATGATGATCCGAAGTTGGGGATCATTTGTCTTGTTTGGGCATATTCCCTAGTATTGGCTTGATGATTTTGTTGGGGGTTGTAGGCCAGCAAAACTGGGGAAGTGTCATAAAAAGCCATTGGGAATCAGCACTGGAAACACCAACTTTTCGGCATCGGGGTTGCGAAGGGATTTTCCCTTCGGCCTTGGAAGGTGCAGGTTTTTTTGGTCCAACCATAGTGGGGGTGATCTAACCTTGAGAAGTTAGCATGAGCAGTACCTACACCCAATGGTTTTCATGATCATTATCCCTACTAAATGGCTATTTCATTGGGGGTATACCCCATTTTCAGACATACCTATATTGATTGTGGTTGAATTTCCGTTTGCAGCAAAGGCAAAACCTCAACATTCGACTTTGAATTCCCATTGCCAGCACCGCGAAATTGCCAAAGGCTAAAGATTACAATTGCCATTGTAATGAGTCACAGCCAAGACGGTAACATCCTCAGAAATCGGCCCCTGTGTTTCACCCCCACAACTCCAACTTGGATGCAGGTTGATGGCCTGGAATTAACCCAATCACCAATGGCAGATCTACCAATGAAATGGGATATAGAAAAATAAGGCAATCGACCAGTGAAGTGGGCTAAACAAGCCAGCAAAACTGAGTGATATAGCCCCAGTTGCAACCCGATTGGTCAAATAGGGTGAAACAAGTCACTTTCTTTTTTTCCCTAGCAGTTGAGCCCAAAAAACCAACCAGTTGAAATGGAAATAATCCCCTCCCAATATTAAGCAACCCCCATTGTATGGTCCCAGGCATCTGTGACTTCATCCCCTATAGCCCATATCCAGCATGGTTCCCCTTCGTTGATCCCGCAGGTTTATGCTGCAACTTATCCCTGGCACATGTTCCCGGGCTTCGAGGGTCGCCCGCGGCGCATGGGCAAACGCAGCCTGGATGCGAGGGCCGGGTCGGGCCGGTCCGTTGTGGTGGTTGGTCCATGGAGTCCACCTAACTCCACTGGAATCCCATGGAGGAAAGCCATGCTTTTGGGTGTCACAAGTTGAGGGAACAGCCCTCTTCGTCACAAGACTTCAAGTCACCAGCGGATTGACGAAGTGGTGCTGGACCTCAACATGTTTTAAAGTGGCCGCCATACTTGGGGAGTGAAATCTACTCTGAAGGAAACCCTTACATGCAACTGCAGAAATGGGATCGGGAAGATGAGATTCCCACTGGACATGGCAATTTTTGGTTAGATGTTAAGTGTTGTGGGTGTAACTTCTCCACATCCACGGTTGGTGGTGTGGGCCTCATGATTTTGCTTGTGTCTCCGGGCTTGCGTTCCTAGGTGTATGCTTTCTAGTATGCTGTGGGTGCTTTGGGGCGCATTGCTTTGCACTTGTCTCTCCCCCTTGTCTCCCAGCATGCTGCGGGTGCTGTGGGCTGCATGGCTTTGCACTTGTCTCTCCCCCTTGTCTCCCAGCATGCTGCGGGTGCTGTGGGCTGCATGGCTTTGCACTTGTCTCTCCCCCTTGTCTCCCAGCATGCTGTGGGTGCTGTGGGCTGCATGGCTTTGCACTTGTCTCTCCCCCTTGTCTCCCAGCATGCTGCGGGTGCTGTGGGCTGCATGGCTTTGCACTTGTCTCTCCCCCTTGTCTCCCAGCATGCTGTGGGTGCTGTGGGCTGCATGGCTTTGCACTTGTCTCTCCCCCTTGTCTCCCAGCATGCTGCGGGTGCTGTGGGCCGCATGGCTTTGCACTTTTCTCCCATTTGTCTCCCAGTTGTCTCCCGCTCACGTCCCACTGATGCGGAGGCAAAATTTTGGAGTTGTATTCCATTTGTCCCCACTTGTCCCGCGCGAGGCTTCACCGAAACTGGTGTTTCCAACATCTATTTGGGGTCAGTTGTAGTTTCGTTATTCAGCATGGACTTATTTGAGCACCTCATGCTCAAACAGCCTGACTGCCCCCTTCTGGATTCGGTGCAAAGGATGGCTCATGTTGAGCTCTCTGCTGGTGATTGCATCAATCTACATCCTTTGCATCTTGAAGGACTGGGGAGGGAAAGATGGGAAGTGAAAAGGAGCAGCCCAGAACAACCCTGGAGCTGGGTATCTCATAATTTCACTTAAACCCCTTTTCGGTCGCAACTCTAAGCATATCATCAGACTAATTATTGATTGTAAATTTAGGATATGAATGGGTGTCCATCGTGAAAATTGAGAGCTGTGCGCCAGCAAAATCGAGTTTCTAGAACAATCCATGGGTTACTACCTTATAACTCGGGTCATAAAAAAAGGTGCTTGGTGGGGCAGGAGCACCCTCCCTCCACCTACGCCCATGATGCCAAGTGGTGTATCTTGGGCATCTGGCTATCGACCATGATCTATCAGTTTTATGAGGCTGCAAAGGCCGGGCGGGAGGAAATGGTTGCGTTGCCTAAGTGGATCCACTTGTGGTTGCGGAGCGTAGACATGCATAGACTGTGTCTTTTGTTTGTTTCATCTCCCAAATTTTGGGCTTGGGTCCAGCCGAGAATCAATTTTTGACATTTTTGCAGTGCGGCTGTGTGCAGTGCTGGGCTGTGCCGGGCGCTTTTCCGGGCGCTGTTCCGGGAGGCTTGGAAGTCTACCATGTGGGGCGATTTTGGGTTGGCTTTTGCCATCAGCGTGGACAGCATAGTTTTGGGCTGGGTGGTGATCATGTTTCAGTCTCGATGCTTGGTTGGTTGATGACTCCTGTAAGTGTGTGACATCTCAGCAAAAACTTCTGAGAACATCTGAAAACTATGTTTAGTGTCATTGGGATTGGTGGAGTTGCATGGTAGATCAAGAGGCCTTTGTATCGAGTTTAATGTACTGATTCGAACGCAATTGGGCTGCGGGTCCCAAGGAATACGTGTATTGAGGGCATCATCGCAGGGCTTCAATTCCAAATTTTGGATCTATGCACCTTGCTTTGCACTGCTGGCTATGTCAACCAAATGCGAGCTGGGAGAACAATTGGGTTGGTGACATGATGATTTTTTTTTGACCGGTGGTGGCATTCTATGTCGTCGTAGCCCCCAGAATGGACGATGGAACTCCATCTTGGGAGACCGTTTTCTGATTGAAGTCTGTATTAGTTCTGATTGGCCCTAAGTAATAACTAAGCCTAACTAAGCGTAATTAGCTGATATTTTGGAACTTCAGCAACGTAACGGCCAAACAAAGTATCACTTGTTCCGTGGTCAAGACCTGGGTAAGTTGCCCATCCCCATTCTCGGATGGATGACCATACAGGGTCTGTCTGAAGATGTTTTTTTCACCATAAAATGGTGTTTTTTGTTGAACATGATGGTGAACCAATGGATTAAGAGGCACCCTTTTCAGACAAAGCCATATCCATTGTCCATGAGGTGATGTGCAGTGCCTTCATCGCGAATTCTATTTGCACAGCCATTCAGCGTGGCTGGTCCAGCCACGTGGGTCAGTGGGGATCCATTCTTGTCAGGCGCCCTTTTCTGGGTGGGCGGAACGGCGGAACGGCGGAACTCGGGCGGAACTTGATCGTTTTTTGGGTGGGATTTTGGCCCCAATTTGCGAAGGAGAACACAATTTGCAGGTTCCCGGAAGGGGATGATGGGCAAGAATTCGCAAGTCCAAGGGTCCAATTTCCAGCCCTGTCGTGTAAACTCACATTGATGTGGAAAACCCATCATTTGTAGAACATGTATACTATATGTCGTATGTTAGTTTAGCCCAGGGTATCACAAATTCTTTTCTGACCCGGATGGTTGGGCATCTTCACCATGCTTTTTTCTGTCACGGTGCCCACGACAGGACCATTTTTCTGACCATTTGGCTGACCTATACAGTGATTGTTTCCAGGCCATTGGGATCATCGGAACGGCTGGGGGATTTTCCAGCTGATGACACAGGAGGGTAATACGTATATATGTACATATATGCATGTATAAATATATATATATATATGTATATGTACTCTGATATATACTTATATATAATATATATCTATATCTATATCTATATCTATATCTATATCTATATCTATATCTATATACATAGTGTGTCTCAAAAGCATTCAGTGTCTTTTTGAGATATCCTGAAATGCCACTGTTGATTGGAGAAGTAAGGATAAGCCACTGGATTTTTTGGGTACCCTGTTTTCATACAAATCTACATCAAACTATATTATGTAATATATATTTCTATATATATATGCATATATATATATGTATGTAGAGACTATTTTTCCATATTTCCCATTGAATACGAATATCTATCCCATGTTTGATTTCCAGGAGGTATGCCAAATTCCACCAATTTCAAACCCCAGAACCACGAGATGAGAATTGGCCACGGGTCATCGACAGCACTTCATCCGCATCGGGTTTGTTTCGACAGCGGAAACTGTGGGATAGTGGGATAGAGGGATAGATGTAAGCCTACAAAACTGTATTGTTTTCACATTCCCTGTTGGAAATTCGAATTTCAAACTATTGAGACTGTCTTCATGACAAGGTAGGTTTCTAAGTGGGTTTCTACCTCCTGGATTGTTGATTTCCCAATGAATTGGCGCACCTGAACTATCACCAACCGGGTGAGGACTTTGAGTCGAGGGCTTCACGTCCTATGGGTGGAGAGTCGAAGGGTGCGAGGGCTACCCAGACAGCAGGCAGAGATGGGTTATGGCCTATGGCTGAGGCGAAACAGTTGGAAGTTTGGAAGATATTTGAGAATGGAGTAGTGACCAATTTCAACCCACCAATGAACTTGCCCACTTTTGAAAAATCCCACTTTGATGTTAGATGCCGGTACGATACCTGCATCACTCCGGGGTCTATGGCTGATCTTGGCACAGTTCAATTCCTGCTGTTGGAGTCTCAAGGCATTGTGGCACAGCGATCTTCCATTTAGAATTCCACTTAGAACATCCAAGAGCATCCGCCGATGACCAACGTCTACTTCTTGTTGTTGTGTTCTCTTGCGGGAACAGGTGAATATACGATTTATATAATCTAACATATATATATATGTATATGAATATATGTAGTTATGTTGGGCCTCATGTCAGCCCTCTTCCCCGGCTGTGGCAATTATCCTATAATAATCATCGAGTAAATAGCGTGGTAAACTTAACACACGAAATTTAGATTCCTGGATGATTTTTTAACCGGGAATGGTCCCATTTGATTTTCACCGGCAAAACCTGCCAATGAGTCAAAGGGGAAATGTTTCATACCAAACTCAACCTTATGTTTTTTTTTGTGCAGGGTAGCTAAGATTTGCCATGATCATTACATAATATGCATCATCGTATGTTTATTGCTTAAATCCACCAGTTTTGACGAGTGAATCGGACGTGTTACCGTGCGCAGGTACAGTGGGCCGCACGAGTCCTGAGCTTCCTGACACAAACCTTGTGGCTGCTCAGGGGATCCGATCTCGGGTCGGAGTGATCTGCATTCCAACGTTGGGGAGATATACGTACAATGTGCCAGTATATATATATATATATGTATAATATATATATAGGTATTATAGATATATGTATTATATATAAAGAAATTGCATGATATAGGAGTATATTGTAGATAATTTTATAAGGTAATTATATATATGATATAAATCTATCTATCCATCCATACATCCACAGACATATTCTCCACGCCCGTCTCCGTGCCCAGGAATGGAACTGATGATTTGTGCGTCCCTGGGAACAACCACATTTTTTGTTTGGTTCCTTGGCAGTTGTAGTCACGTCGTCTTGGCTTTGGGGAAAACCTGGTGGCTTTTGATGATTGGAAGGGAGGAAAGTACCCTCTGGTAATGACTAACATGGCTATTGAAAATGGCCATTGAAATAGTGAGTTTTCCCATTAAAAATGGTGATTTTCCATAGCTACGTTAAATTACCAGAGGGTAGGAAAGGAAGAAACACCACTGATGTTAAAAAAACACTTGGAACGTCTTGGAACAACTCGCAACGATTTGAAAACTTGGGCGTGTGTCTTACGCAACAGCCGTCACGTCTGACCCTTTAGCGCGGAGGAGGGAGATTCCTTTTTTGAGGTCAACGATCAACGTGGTGAAACTCATTCAGCTGTTGGACCCTGACGAATACGATCGCATTAAGATGGATGTCTGGTTCTGGGTGAGTCACCTGGCTGGGATTTGCTGTCGAATATGGCGAATCCACTGAATCCACCTGGAGAATCCGGTGACTGGCCGGCCCCACTGAGGTATACTCCGCCGTTTTGATGGAGTGCCTGGCCCAAATGCCCCATTTCCCAAGGCCAAAGGAAGCTGAAATTTCCTGCCTGAGGTGCTCAATGCCGTGGAGTTGGCCTTACTGTCGGGAATTCTGTGGCAAGGTTCTCCCCCGGAGGAAGATGTGGAGCAGCTTGGTGGAACTTTCGTACTTCGATGCTGTTGTGGGTAAGGCTGTGCCTGTTGGCATCCTCGCCTCACTTTGAAAATGACCACAATCCCCTCGAGGATGTCATTCCCCATCTTTTTGTGCTGCTTGCATCCCCCCAACGACTCTTGAGTGGTCCATAATTCAGAAAATCTTCAGCAAACCCTCGATGCTCGGGGGTGCAGCTCCTTTACTTGGACACATAACAGAGTTATAGGTGTTAAATCCCAACTTATGGGAGTTATAATCCAATGGTTGCAGTACTATATACATCATATAGCCATCAATTACCTCTGTACAAGCCCTCCTTCAGCTGCCCTAAGGATGGAGTCGCGCAGTCGCCTGCGAGGCTTGACGTCCATGTCGGACTTCTTAGAGGTCAGCGAACAGGTTCGGACAGCGGACAGGGTGGGGGCACCCCGGTTATAAGTTGGTTTATGAATCATTATAATCACATATAATCACATATAATCACCATTAACTATAGTTATATCTACCATAAACCATAGTTGAGCCACTTATAAGGCACCTTAGCTATCGTGGGGGCCCCATCCTGAATGTGAAGGATTCCATTTCAATTTTTTCAGTGATTGTTTGTTGCTCGGAGTATTGGAGCCGTGTAGTACATATCGTAGCCAATTGCATGGAAACGGGACCCTACTGTATTGCCTTTGACGGGGTTTCTGATTTTTGCATTTTCTTAGGGCACTGCAGGTCATTCTTACTATTTCTGTCTCATCGGATGAGTGCGTGAAAGTCTACCCTTGACAAATCGATGTGCCCATGTCCACAATGAGGGGCTTTCAGTCACCCAAGAGATGTTAAAATCGCAAAAAGATCCTATTCTTGCCTCCATTTGGGGGCACTGTCTATCAGATCTATCCCACTTGTCATCGCTCTTCTTGTTCCTAGCAGCTGGCTAGAAGTTTCACTCATTTGAGATTGGTAATTCTTCCAAACAATTGACCTAGATGATGTCTACAAACATGCTTGTTAAGCTGATTCAAACTGCTTCGGATTTGCGAATTGTTCAACTTCATCGCGTCCAGGACCTTTACCGGGCCAAAGTGGAAGAACTGGCACAGCGGGGCTTCCGCCTGCGGTCTTTGATAAAGTTCTGGGAGGAATTGCTCGAAGGGGAGGCGCCATTCCAAAAATGGCCTTGGTTTTAGCTGTGTTCCAGGGAAAAGCTTGGAGGAAAACGCAGTGTCTCCGTAAAATGTAAAAGGGTTTCCTGCAAATGTTTCCTTTATATTCCTTTATCATCCTTTATCCAAGTATGGAATATGCCTTTGTATATACATATATGCATATTGGGTACTGTGCAGTTGGGGCCCATGGTCAGAATTGTGCTGGCTTGGGTCCTTCCCAGGGCGGGCTAGGTAGGTTCTCTTTGGATGAAATATAACAACCTCACGTCGCCACGTCAGTGCAATGATCGTTGTAAGTCCAACTATCCCCAAATAGCTTTATTTCAGCTTAGTGAATAATGATGATTTATCCACGATATACATATTTAATATGATATATAAAATGACATATGATATGATACACAATATGATATATATCAAATGAAATATATCATATGATATAATATGATATATAATATATGATATATAATATATGATATATGATACATGATAGACGATATATAATATATAATATTTGATATATGATATATAATATACAATATATAAAATACAATATAAAATATAAAAGATATGATATATGATATATGATATATGATATATGATATATAATATATAATATATAATATATAATATATAATATATAATATATATATATATATAATATATAATATATCATTGAGCCCGCTGTGCGGGTAAGACATTTCCACCCGCAGACGAAGACGAATTCCGAAGACGAATTACGAAGACGAATTCCCCGAAGACGAATTGCCTCCCGAAGACGAATTCCCCACCTGAAGACGGATTCCGAAGACGAATTCCCCGAAGACGAATTGCCCCCCGAAGACGAATTAACCCCCCGAAGACGAATTGCGAAGACGAATTCCCCGAAGACAAATTGCCACCCGAAGACGAATTCCCACCCGAAGACGAATTGCGAAGACGAATTCCGAAGACGAATTGCCACCCCGAAGACGAATCTCCCCCGAAGACGAATCCCCCCCGAAGACGAATTCCCACCCGAAGACGAATTCCCCGAAGACGAATTCCCCGAAGACGAATTGCCCCCCGAAGACGAATTTCCGAAGACGAATTCCCCGAAGACGAATTGCCACCCGAAGACGAATTCACCGAAGACGAATTGCCACCCGAAAACGAATTCCGAAGACGAATTCCCCGAAGACGAATTGCCACCCGAAGACGAATTCACCGAAGACGAATTGCCACCCGAAAACGAATTCCGAAGACGAATTCCCCGAAGACGAATTGCCACCCGAAGACGAATTCACCGAAGACGAATTGCCACCCGAAAACGAATTCCGAAGACGAATTCCCCGAAGACGAATTCCGAAGACGACTTTGTCACCAGCGACTTGGGAGAAAAGCATGCATACACTCAATCCCTAAATGCATGTCATATATGTTTTTATTTTGGCAAACCGTAGGGACATGTTTTTTGTCCATGGTGGGTTTTCACCGTATAACGGACATCTTTGTTTGGTTTAATTGCATATATTTCCCTACAAGTCCCAGGGCCTGTCATGTTAGGAACTGGGTCCCCAGTTCCAGGAACTGGCGGAACCATGGTCACGGTTCCAAGGGTTGGTTTATGGACCCCAACACCGATCATGATGACTAACGAAGGAGGTAACGAAATGAACGACTTGGAAAAAAGGAAGAGATAAACAAACCGCATGTAAGACTTGAAAAAAGGAAGGAAATAGCGACATGAACGCATTGACATGAAAGGAAGAGGTAAATGAGGGAAGAGTTGAAACGAAAGAAGTAGCGAACTGGATTACAAAGAGTTGAAACGAAAGGAAGGAAGCAACGAATGGAAGGGAAGAGTTGCAACAAAAAGACGGACGCAATGAAAAGGACGAGATGACAGGAAAGGAAGAGCAGGAAGAACAGGACAGAAGATTTGAGCGAAACGACGGACTTCGCGAAATGAACGCCTTTAAATGAGAGAAAGAGGATAGAGAGGTGAACGAATAAGATGAAACAATGGGGAGGAAGTAACGAACGGAGCAGAAGTTAAAACGAAAGGAGCGACGTAGGGAACAGAAGGGAAGACAAAACGAAAGGGAATAGTAACAAACGAAATGCTCTGGATGCTATAGCCTCTGGGCTTGCTCTTTGAGATTTTGAAAATTCTTTTGATGCTACGCTCTTGGCCTTCACCTGAGGCGTTTCAGCATGCCCTACACTCTACGCTCTGGAGACAGTCGCCTCTTGAATGCTATGCTAATTTTCTCTTGGAAGTTCGAACAAGCTTTTGGTGCTATGCTCTTGGCTTACTCTTGGGTTTTCCGACACGCTTTTGCTGCTAAGCTCTGAGCATCTCTTAGCTTTCTCCTGGGCCAGGCCGGCAAGCTCTTGATGCTACGCTCTTAGCTGTCTATTGGAACTTCCAACACGCTCTTGGTGTGTTTTATCTTCCAATACTTTCTCTTTGCCTTGTCCTGGGACGTGCCAGCACGCTCTTGACGCTACGCCCTTGGCTTCTCTTGAAGCATGGCGCGCTATTTTTGCTTCTTTTTGTGACACATTGAATTCCAACACGCTCTTGATACTACGTTCTTGGCTCCGGCTCTGACGCTCTCTTGATGCTACGCGCTGAACCTCGTCTTGGAACAGTCCAAGATGCTGTTGACGCTACGGTCCACCACAATCGTGATGATACGCTCTTATAATTTTTCTTGGAACTTCCAACGCGCTCTTGTTGGTGCTACGCTCCGCCTCTTGACGCTGCGGTCTGGAGAAAGTCACGCTCTTCCTGCTACGCTCTTAGCTTTGTTCTGGAACACGCCAGGACGCTCTAGTTGCTACGCTCTTTTGTTCTTCGCTTGATGCTACGCTCTGACCTCCAACACGTTCTGGATGCTAGACTCTTAGGTTTTTCTTGGTCCTTCAACACGCTCTCCTGGTATTGCTCGCTTAGGTTTCTCTTGGAGCTTCCAACACGCTCTTGGTGCTACGCTCTTGACTTCCTCTTGGAACTGCCAGCGTTCTCTTGATGCTAGCCTCCTGTGCTATGCTTTTAGCCTTGGAACTTCCAGCAGGCTCTGGATGTTACGCGCTCAACTCCCGCATGTTCTCAATGCTACACGCTCAATACTTTTTCATTGAACTTCCCGAGCTTTCTCCTGGAACACTCCGGCGCTCTCTTCGTTTGGGTTTGGTAAGAAGATAAGAAGGTTCTATAAGGTTCTACTACTTCAACTTAATGATTGATCCTTGCCTCAAGGATCTTCAACTGAGGTTGCAAAAGCACGCCACACGATCTTGATAATTACCTATACGCTTTATATTTCGACATAACCTAGCCTTGGTGGTCAGGCCAAATCCCTATCTGCCCTCCGGCTCCTCTTCCTCTCTACATTCCTCTATTTGTCTTCCCACATACAAAGAATACAGTACGCCTGCGCCCTTGCTCGTCATGCCTAGCCTGTCAACAGGCAATGTGTCGTCAGGCAATAATATACACACAATGCGTCGTCAGGGGGTATAATGCATTGTCAGGGGGCAATGCGTCGTCAGGGAATGTGTCGTCACAATGCGTCGTCAGGGGGTATAATGCATTGTCAGGGGGCAATGCGTCGTCAGGGAATGTGTCGTCACAATGCGTCGTCAGGGGGCAATGCGTCGTCAGGGAATGTGTCGTCACAATGCGTCGTCAGGGGGCAATGCGTCGTCAGGGAATGTGTCGTCACAAGGCGTCGTCAGCGGGTAATGCGTCGTCAGGGGGCAATGCGTCGTCAGGGAATGTGTCGTCACAATGCGTCGTCAGGGGGTAATGCGTCGTCAGGGGGCAATGCGTCGTCAGGGAATGTGTCGTCACAATGCGTCGTCAGGGGGGCCGGGGACATCGCCAATGTGTCGTCACAATGCGTCGTCAGCGTCAGCGCGAAATGTCTTACCCAAGCTGCGGGTGCCCTGTAATATATAATAAATAATATATAATATATAATATCTAATATATAATATATATATATATAATATATATATATATTATAAAATATATAATATATACTATTTAATATAATATATATATATAAATAAAAAAATAAAATAGTAATATATACAATATATATAATATATATTATATATAATATATATAATATATATAATATATAAAATATATATAATATATATAATATATCATATTTCGTATATAATATACAATATATAATATATAATATATAATATATTATATATTATTTAATAAATAATATATAATATATGATATATAAAATACACTATTTAATTTATATTTTTTAATTTTTAATACAATGTAATATAATATAATATTAAAATATATAATATATAATATATAATATATAATAAATAATATATAAGATATAAGATATAATAAATAATATATAAGATTTAATATATAATAAATAACATATAATATATAATATATAATGATATAATAATATAATAATATAATATATAATATATAATATATAAAATATAATTTTAAATATATAATATATAATAAATAATAAATAATAACATATTATATAATATATAATATACAATATATGATATAAAATATTTAATATATAATTTATAATATATAATATTTTATATTTCATATTTTAAATATAATATATAATATAAAATATATTATATATAAAATATAATATATAATATTTAATAAATTATATAAAATAAAATGATATATATATAACATAATATTATTTGATATAATGCAATATAATATTATATAATATAGAATATAACATAATATAATATAATATGATACTTAGATGTACTCTAATATAATATCACATCATATAATAGGTATAACTATATATACACATGTGCATCCATATATGGATATCGGGGATTTCCGAGATTTCTTCTTTCTTTTTGAACCAGAGGGGAATTTTTACTTTTTCCCTCCGTTGAAGGTGATGCCAAGTTTCGATCCTCGCCCCTCAGCGAAAAGCACGGCTGGGGATGGGTCCATGGAAGAGAAAGGACCTCGAAGGATGTAGTTCCCGATATACCCTTTGGTAATTTAACGTAGCTATTGAAAATGACCATTTACAGTGGATTTACCCATTGAAAATGGTGATTTTCCACAGTTATGTAAACGTTTACCAGAGGGTATATCTTTCATGAAGAGTTTTTCATGGACTAGGGGGATTGGTGGTGCCGCTTTTTGAGACCATTCAATCTAGTGGGGAAATTCAACCATGTAGTCCATTGGCATCCAAGAATCATTGATACTCCACTGTGGCAACGGAGAACCTAAAAAGATGCCGAAAATACCTTGGACACTTGGAACATGTGGTGAAGACATCATCAAACTACCATCCTGGAAATGCAAAACCCTATCTTCTAGGAGGCAAAACCTATGATTTTCGCATCCATTCCCAATGTGTTGTATTTTTTTCCCTTAGCTAGATTGCTGGAGGTGAGTTATCCCCGAATGGCGGCCATCCATAGCTGGGTTCTGCTCCAGGGCGGTCGCAAACCAATGATGTGGTGCGACAGGCGCTGATGGAATGGGTGTGACAGGTATGGGGATGGATTCCAGTTTTCACCCCCTGGAATTGATAAATATCGAGAACTAGAACGGGGGTATTTAATATTTTTGACCCGTTGCAGAATTGCTAAATGAATCTCAATGAATATGAAAATTTCTGTCGCTTCCAGTGGTCCCCTTTTTTTGGCAGATGTCAAGTGGACATGGGCAATGCTGGCATTTTCAGATGGGTTTCAATTCTTCCTTTCTACCATCAGAGTTTGGTCATCGTGCGGAGGCATCTGGAAAAATGCGACATCATGGAACCAATGGTAAAAATGATGGAGCAATGGAGGGAATCCCTGTGGATTTGGATGAGAGAATTGTTAAACCGTGACAAAAATGGGAGATTGAGTATGGGCGAACCTCTGGTTCTGGCATCAGTAAACACCATTAATTCACCATTAATTGGCCATTAATTCACCATTAAACCACCATTAAACCACCATTAATCAGCCATTCAATTCCCATGAAATCCCCATCCCAGGGGTCCCTTGCGCCCTGGAGGCCATTATTCCCAGCTCCAGACTTGGACATGGTGGCTTTGCCTTAGCGTCGATCTGGGAAGAGGAGCGAACCCGGAATTTTGGGCGGGTTCCATCCCAAACAGGTTGTATAATATAACATATATATATATATAAATAATATTCATACCATACACATTTATATTATGATATTTTATAGAATATATAATGTAATATAAATAGACATCCATATATATATATATATGTATATATACACATGATATTTATACAATATGACTGCTAGACATTGGGAGACTAACAGTTTGCTGTGAAAAATGGCTTAATTAGTTCGATGATTTACGAGCTTTGAAGGCGGTGATTTTCCACAATTATGCTAGTTTACTGGAGGGTACTAGTATATAACTGCTTATTGAACAGCCCGACAAAAAAACACTGGTCACTTCTGAACTTGCTGGGAAACAGAAATCCATGTGATGCTACAGTTCTTGGTATGCAAGCATAGAGCACCATGTCAGTGCTGCTATGAGCGCTCAGATGATATCGTTGTGGTCATGGTACTGGTAAATCTCTGTCGCAGAATGGCACCATGGGCAGATTTCTATCCAGAAAGCAAGGGATTATAGGGGCCCCAAGAAAGATAGAACAGTTCTTCCAGTAGATGGTTCTTACATGTTCGTACTGCATAGTTTCCAGCTCTCCAGCTTTCCTATCAACTCTTAATCTTCAAGCTGCAAAGTGGAACCATCATCAAACTTTCCGGGGAATCATGACCGTGCAAAGCATACTGCATCCCATCGTCATATGGACGCAGGAAGCTGCCTCTAAGTTTCGGATCAGAACCCTGGAACCCTGGCCCTCAACTCGTAAACCCATCCGCCAATTCTTGGGTTCGGAACCGTCACGCGGTCAGAAGCCTGTCTTGCCCAAGAGCATGGTCACCCACAACTGGACCAACACCTTTGCAGCGGGGCTGCAAGTCGGCCTTCGGGATGATCGATAGTTTGCGTCAAGAATGGTGCCGGGTTATCCCCGTTGAAATTGCACATTTTCAGGCTTCGGCTATATCCCTTTCCAGAGACATTCGCATTTGGTCAAACAGCCATGGTCCGAAAGCGTGGTTTCCTGCAGACGCCTCAGGTCAATCTGGTTGCAGCCATGGTTTCAGATGCTTTAGGAGGTGGAGATGTTGTGGTCGAAGGGGTAGATCCCTGGTGGTTTTGATTGGACATTTTAACCAACAACAATTGAGATTTACATTACTGTAAGCATTAGACTCATTAGACACTGAGAATCTCCAATTCGGAGGTTGGAAAGTAGTCTTCGAGCCCTGATCCATGGCATAGTATATGTTGGTTAGGGGGAGAGGGGGAGAGGGAGAGTAACTGGTCTCATGAGTGTGGTTTTAACCCGAAACATATGAGAAGCACTATCAGACAACCAGTAGAAGAGTAGGCCAGGGGGCTTTGGGTGCTGCTCATTTGGGATTTAAGTGATTTAAGCTCGAAAATGCCACACAGAATAAAGATCTAAGCGCCATCAATGGTCGGATATCGCCGAGCCAACCAATCATTGGATTGACTCCCCAAACTGGATGACTTAGTACCAGGACACTGCGAAAAAAATGGTGGGTCCCTTGGTACCCCAATCTTCAGCCATGGCCATGGTCCCACGGAACATCCGTATTCCCTCGTGAATTTCTGGATGCCAAGTTTGGGCCAAGCTTAAATAGCTCCTAAAGGCAGGTTTTTTTTGGGGGGAGGGCATTTGGAAGTGGGACACTCAGCTATCTTCCTGCATTTTTCTTGGGAACTGCATCTGAACGCCAGAGCTGGATGGTGGTTTCAAATCCTTTTCGAATCCCACCCCAAGCTCGGATGATCGCCGCCCTGCCAGCTGGGTTCCAGGGGATTGTTATGCCAATGTGGCCGATCAGCTTTGCAGCAAGAGTGGCGTTGCGAATTTGAAGCAGCAGTTGGAAGAGGCGGGGCAAACAGATGCTTGGGCAGCACAGCAAAGTGGCAATGTGCAGCACCTGCTGATGGCTTTGGGAGAAGAATTTCACTTCCAAATATGGAAAATCGTCAACACAGAATCCGTATTCAGCAGATTCATGGCACTTCTGTTGAATCTTAGGAGGCCCGGCGATACTAAGCATGGTTCCCCCATTCAAAGCCACCTGATTCGCTGCGACATGAAAAACCAATCTTTGGGGTGAAGAGTCCCAATCGGGAGAGACAGCTGTGGAGCCTCATGGCAGTTGAATTTCAATGACTCAGGACGTGAGCTTCTGGGTTTGCGTGTCTTGGAATCAATCACCCAACTTCTCCATATTTGTGATATGTTTTATTATTCATGTTAGCCTCCGATTTGTGTGATGGCACCCTATTGTGTTTTTTTTCCAAAATAATTGAGTATTTTGTGGATAAGGGGGTACCCCATGAGTGACCCAGATCCTCAATAATGTAATTGTTTCGATGGTACCCTAGTGTGCACAAAAACTTCTGGGGTGAAAAAAAACACAAAACCTTTTATCCACCTTTCTTTTGGTAAAGCTAGTCCATTTACTTTAGAAAACCATATCCATGTTAAAGCCTTGAACACGCAAGGTTTCCCAAATAAACCCTTATTTAAAAACAACTCCCAAACAATTTTTCAAGGGGGTACCCCATGAGAGACCCAGATCCTCAATAATGTAATTGTTTCGATGGTACCCTATTGTGCACAAAAACGTTTTTTGGGTGATTTTTTTTGATTAAAAAGGAACATCAATTGAAAGTAGATTCAAATGAATTGAAAGTAAATTGGTTTCAGTTGAAATCCTTTCTTATCAATAGATTTCTTTGAGGTTTAAAAGGCAAATCAATTGAAAGTAGATTCACATGAATTGAAAGTAAATTGATTTCAATTGAAATCCTTTCTTATCAATAGATTTCTTTGAGGTTTAAAAGGCAAATCAATTGAAAGTAGATTCAAATGAAGTGAAAGTAAATTGGTTTCAGTTGAAATCCTTTCTTATCAATAGATTTCTTTGAGGTTTAAAAGGCAAATCAATTGAAAGTAGATTCAAATGAATTGAAAGTAAATTGATTTCAATTGAAATCCTTTCTTATCAATAGATTTCTTTGAGGTTTAAAAGGCAAATCAATTGAAAGTAGATTCAAATGAAGTGAAAGTAAATTGGTTTCAGTTGAAATCCTTTCTTATCAATAGATTTCTTTGAGGTTTAAAAGGAACATCAATTGAAAGTAGATTCAGATGAATTGAAAGTAAATTGATTTCAATTGAAATCCTTTCTTATCAATAGATGAATTTGAGGTTTATATGAAAGGAACATCATTTGAATGTAGATTGATGTCAATTGAAATCCTTTCTTAAGTTGACCATCATAAAAATTGTTGGGGGGCCCCAGAAAATGGTGAGATACTGAGTAGTCTAAAATTGTTGGGGGGCCCCCTACACTAATCAGAGCCCAACATTATCCCCTTTTTTCATCCACAACAGTGCCAGAATCTGCCAGGCTGCAAAGACTGAATGGCTTTGGGGTGTCAAGATGGGAAAGTGGGAACAAGTGTTATCCGTTATGCACTGCCATCCCCTAGACTGCCAGGCCCACCCTTGGAATCGTCTAGGCTGTCACTTCACTAAATCGAAAGAGGTGCAGGTGGACAGAAAAGAAGTAGGCGCTGCAGTTGTCCGAGGCCTACTGCAGAGATTGGTGACTTTTGGAGATAAAATGGAATTTGAGGTCAATTGACATCTAGCCTTGTCGGCCCTGAGGCGTTCTCAGTGAATCAGCACGCCAGCATTTGCGGGGGCTACGGACCAGAACCTGCGGAGGGGACCCCTGAATGGAAAGTGTGGGACAAGAAGAGGCAAGGGGGGGCGGACTGCAACAACAGACAGACCATTGTTTGGGTACTGCGGTAAAATGTACAAACAAAACAAACCCCATCGAAATGGGTGAGTTGTTACACCCAAAAAAGGAGGTTGATGATTGATGGTGTTATGTCTGTTATGTGTTTACCGTTGTTTACCACACTATCATCCAATCCTTTGGTGCAAGCGATTTTGGCACCGCTCTGCAGGCATGATTCTGTGAGCCTGCAGAGATTTCCTCTGTGCTCTTGCAATGAAACCAAGATCTTCAGTCACCACGATGCTGCCTGCGAACTTAATAAGTTCGACGACGCTTGGAGGGGAACTGGGCTGTTCTAGGTGTGACCTCTGGAGCTTTGACGCAAAGATTCTCTTCGGACAAGCCCAGAACCGGGATGATACGGGTGCTTCATGGGTTTCCTGCACAACCTGAAATAGGTTTGTTGTATATAACATATAAATTCGCAAATCACATATTGGTTTGATTCAATTTGAATCTGTTTTTTGCCTCTTTTGTTCACGATACCTCATTCTTTCTCGTTGGTTCTATCCCCGTCTTTTTCTTGGCTGGTTTTTCCCCAAACAGTATACCGTTATGGGTTCCAACTGTTTTGAATCTACGGTGGTGTAATTCCAAATCTCACCTTGTTCTCCATAACTCCTTGACGGTACATCCTGTATATACCAACCCCCACCGCCCCAAGCGCTGAGGATATGATGAACTATCTTTCTCGTAGAGCCCCTTGGCCCTAGCTGGTGCTCCTGGGAGTAGAAAGGCGACCCCGGTGAGATGTGACATAACTGTAAGCGTACCTCAAGGAATTGGAGGTTTTCAACACAAGAAATGATCAATTTTTCAGGGTTCCATTGATATTCCTTTTTTTCCCCCACATCTTTGTGTGGGGTTCTTGTTTTTGATTCTGTATCCCGGGCTCCTCCTCCGCCTTCTCCTCCTCCGCCCTCCTCCACACTTTGTCACCACACACTTGTCCACACACACTTTGTCACCACACACTGTGTCACCACACATTGTCAACACACACTTTGTCCACACACACTTTGTCACCACACACTTTGTCACCACACATTGTCAACACACACTTTGTCAACACACACTTTGTCCACACACACTTTGTCCACACACACTTTGTCCACACACACTTTGTCACCACACACTTTGTCCACACACACTTTGTCACCAAACACTTTGTCCACACACACTTTGTCCACACACACTTTGTCCACACACACTTTGTCACCACACACTTTGTCCACACACACACTTTGTCACCAAACACTTTGTCCACACACACTTTGTCCACACACACTTTGTCACCACACACTTTGTGAACACACTTTATCAACACACACTTTGTCAACACACACTTTGTCACCAAACACTTTGTCCACACACACTTTGTCCACACACACTTTGTCACCACACACTTTGTCCACACACACTTTGTCACCAAACACTTTGTCACCAAACACTTTGTCCACACACACTTTGTCCACACACACTTTGTCACCACACACTTTGTCCACACACACTTTGTCACCAAACACTTTGTCCACACACACTTTGTCCACACCTTCGTTTCATGTGGCAGGCGTGGCACAAACTCACATCCACCGTCGTTTTGTGTGGCAGGCGTGGCACTCATGGTACTGTGTGGCGCGCTTGGTCCGGATTTGTCGCCCCGGGCGCCGCGCCACTTTGCGTGGCAGGCGTGGCACAACCTGACATCCACCTTCGTTTCACGTGGCAGGCGTGGCACAACCTGACATCCACCTTCGTTTTGCGTGGCAGGCGTGGGACAGATGGCACTGGGTGGCGCGCTTGGTCCGGATTTGTCGCCCGGGGCGCCGCGCCACTTTGCGTGGCAGGCGTGGCACTTGGTGACATCCACCTTCGTTTCATGTGGCAGGCGTGGCACAAACTCACATCCACCATCGTTTTGCGTGGCAGGCGTGACACTCATGGTACTGTGTGGCGCGCTTGGTCCGGATTTGTCGCCCGGGGCGCCGCGCCACTTTGCGTGGCAGGCGTGGCACTTGGTGACATCCACCTTCGTTTCATGTGGCAGGCGTGGCACAAACTCACATCCACCGTCGTTTTGTGTGGCAGGCGTGGCACTCATGGTACTGTGTGGCGCGCTTGGTCCGGATTTGTCGCCCGGGGCGCCGCGTCACTTTGCGTGGCAGGCGTGGCACTTGGTGACATCCACCTTCGTTTCACGTGGCAGACGTGGCACAACCTGACATCCACCGTCGTTTTGCGTGGCAGGCGTGGCACTCATGGTACTGTGTGGCGCGCTTGGTCCGGATTTGTCGCCCGGGGCGCCGCGCCACTTTGCGTGGCAGGCGTGGCACTTGGTGACATCCACCTTCGTTTCATGTGGCAGGCGTGGCACAAACTCACATCCACCGTCGTTTTGTGTGGCAGGCGTGGCACTCATGGTACTGTGTGGCGCGCTTGGTCCGGATTTGTCGCCCGGGGCGCCGCGTCACTTTGCGTGGCAGGCGTGGCACTTGGTGACATCCACCTTCGTTTCACGTGGCAGACGTGGCACAAACTCACATCCACCGTCGTTTTGCGTGGCAGGCGTGGCACTCATGGTACTGTGTGGCGCGCTTGGTCCGGATTTGTCGCCCGGGGCGCCGCGTCACTTTGCGTGGCAGGCGTGGCACTTGGTGACATCCACCTTCGTTTCACGTGGCAGACGTGGCACAAACTCACATCCACCATCGTTTTGCGTGGCAGGCGTGACACTCATGGTACTGTGTGGCGCGCTTGGTCCGGATTTGTCGCCCGGGGCGCCGCGCCACTTTGCGTGGCAGGCGTGGCACTTGGTGACATCCACCTTCGTTTCACGTGGCAGGCGTGGCACAAACTCACATCCACTGTCGTTTTGCGTGGCAGGCGTGGCACCAGCTTTGACACACCCTCTTTCACACACCACTTTGTCACACACCATCTTTCGCACACCATCTTTCACACCCAACTTTGTCACCCACCATCTTTCACGCACCATCTTTCACACACCACATTGTCACCCACCATCTTTGACACACCCTCTTTTACACACCATCTTTGTAACACACCATCTTTCACACACCATCTTTTACACCCAACTTTGTCAAACAGCATCTTTGACACACCAAGTTTCACACACCGCTTTGTCACACACCACTTTGTCACACCATCTTTCACCACACCATCTTCCACACACCATCTTTCACCACCCCATTTTTCACACACAACTTTGTCACACACCATCTTTGACACACCATCTTTCACACAGCACTTTGCCACACACCGTCTTTCACACACAACTTTGTCACATGCTCTCTTTCACACAGGACTTTCACCCACACCATCTTTCAGCACACCATCCTTCACACACCACTTTGTCACACACCATCTTTCACCACACCATCCTTCACACACAACTTTGTCACACACCGACCATCTTTCGCCACACCATCTTTCACACACCACTTTGTCACACACCATCTTTCACACACAACTTTGTCACACACTCTCTTTCACACACAACTTTCACACACGCCATCTTTCACACACTGCTGTGTCACACACACACACCATCTTTCACATTCCACTTTGTCACTCACAACTGTTTTAACTTCTCGATCCTTCACCGCCTCCTTTCCCCTAACCTTCTTTCCCCGTCCCTGCTACAACCTTTCATGCTTATTATTGGAAGAAGTTGACTTGTGGGGTTATCCGGTCCTTTAATTTCTCTTTCTCTCTTTTTCTTTCTGTTTATCTATCTTTCTCTGATTATCTACCTACCTACCTGCTGATCTATTTGTCTAACTATCTATTTATCTCTCTGTCTATCTATCTCCCGATGTATTTATCTGGCTGTCTAGTTTTTCCGCAACATGGCGTGGGTGAGGTGCTGATTCCGCTGCGACATTGCTGGCGGGATGCTTTTTTCTGTGTTTGCGTTGGCAGTGGATCGTTTTGTCACGATTGGGCGTCGCACTGCTCAGTTTTGTTTTGGTCTCTTGATGCGTTGTTTGTTTTTGGGCTCCCCCCCTTCGCCCCCCTAGACTCCTAACGCGGCAACTTTGCGGGTCGGGTTGTGTATGTCGCCCGAAGTTCAGTATCATCCGGTTAAAGAATAATAGTATATATTTAAAACCGGATGCATCCTCTGTTTACATTGGGGGAAGAGTTTCGATTTCATGACTCCAGCAGATTCCGTAAGAAGGCTGGAGATGCAAAATTTCTGTTTTACCACAGTTTTGTGCCAGTTTTGATGTCTGTAGCTGCGGAGTCTTGCCGGAGTCGGGCGGAGTCGGTACACCTGCTGAAACCCTATTTACAATGGGGAAAGGGTTGAAAGAGTTCCAACTTTGTGACTCCAGACGACTCCGCAAGAAACCGCAAGATGCGCAAGATGATGTCACTGAACTGTTCGATTTGTTTGATGCCCATTTTTCCAACTTTGTGACTCCAGACGACTCCGCAAGAAACTGCAAGATGCGCAAGATGATGTCACTGAACTGTTCGATTTGTTTGATGCCCATTTTTGGGGTTGGAAAGGTATATAGAATTTGGACTCCCAAAGGCGGTCCTCCCCAGTAGTTTGATGTCACTTGCATGCAGTTGGACACATGTGGACTCATTGGACTATGTATGCAACAGTTTTCACAGTTGTCATGGTTTTGCAGTTCAACTTGTTGACAGTTTTCACTGCTCTGTTTGGGATGGTCTTGCAACGTGGTGTTGTACTTGTCTTGAACGTTTTTGTAAGTTATATGTTTGTTTGTTGCATGTTCTTGGAATTGGTTTGAAGTTGTCTTGGACTTGAACTTGAACTGTCACTGAACTCTTTCTGAACCTTCTGTCTTGTTATGGGGTATGGTTTGTTGGTCTTCTTTGTTCCGCTGCCATTGCCCTATGATGATCAAAAGATGGAGCCAAAAAGACTCGTTTCTCATAAAATATCCATCTATCTGAGGGCACCTTGAAAACCCAGGACGTTTCGAGTTTTCAGTGCGCTAGTTCCTAGCTTAGTTGTTGAGCATGGATCTTAGTTGGTGATGTCTGGAACTTAGTTGTGTGGGTTCAGAACTTAGTTGCCTTACAAACGGTATGGTAGGCTATAGGTACTTCGGTGTACAGCACTACTGTCCAAGAAGGGGTGTGAAAGTTTGGTGAGAGGATGTACAGTGTACTGAACCACCTTGAACCTACTTTAACATCTTTAAACCTATCTTGGAACAATGCATGTGCATATGAACACTTAGGAAACCATTTTAAGTTTGTAGGAACCGATCTGTGAATATAGAAACCATAGGAACCTGTAGGAACCAGGTAGGAACCAATTTGGAACCAAATGGAACCAGTTTGTGCATGGAAGAGCTTGGAGATGGATTTTCGTTTTTGAAGCCTGAGAACTCTTTTGAAGTAGTCAGTTTGAGAAGTTTGAGAACGTTTGAGTGTCACTGCGTTTTACGCTGCACGACTCTTCTAAGAAGAAGAGTGACTGAGCTGTCAAACCTGTGTGGTTTGGCTCAAGTCCGAGCTGTGAAAAAGAGCTGCCACGCCGCTCTCGTGTTTTCACAGGTGAGTAGCCGCTAGCCGGCCGTCGCCATGTCCTGATGATGGACCTGCAGCGCGCTGCACTGGCCTTTATTGTCCAGCGCTGCTCTCTGCAGTGAAATCTCAGTGCGCCTCCGTGCAGCAAAGCCTGCCCTCATGGC